TTTGAATAAATCTATGGATTATCTGTCGCCTCATTGCTCAACCATTTGTCATCATCCATTTTTACAGTTTTTTTCTTTGTTGCATTACCAGAAGTTTTTGTTCCTATCTCTATACTGTTACAAAAACCATTGAACAATAACTGTTTAACAAAAGGCATTATTTGTTAAGATTTATTTGTGTTACAAAAAAAAAAAGTGATAGTATTACCGTTAACAATAATAGAAAACTGAGTTCTGAAGACCAGTTTTGACAAATATTAACTCATTGAAATTTTTTCCCTTTGAAATTTGTTCTGTTGTTTGATGTTATCGGATTGTAAATACGTTAAGTGATTTGTGGATGTTTGGGACCGGTAAAACTACCAGCAGCTGTATAGCTGTTGTGTCAAATAGAAGTGCTATTTTTGAGGGTAACATTTATTATTGCCTTTTTGACAGCTTTTTACAAAGTATTTCTTCTTGTTAGTAACCATTATTTTTTTTTTCTTTTTCTTTTTGAAAGATTATGAATGATCAAAAATTTGAAAAGGAAAAAAAGTTGAGACTTTTCCAGTGTTTAACTGAAAGAATGTATGTTTATTGGAAACTATGCAATATTTATGGATAACTCCGAACTGTTGTTAGTCGCCATTCAGTCAGTTTTATTTGATACTATTTATTTTTTGATTTAACGGGTTCTTTCTTCTGCTTTATTCTTTTTTTTTTTTCTATTTAAAACAAACAACAATAGCAGCAGAAAAATAGCAAAGGCAATAGAAAAGACAACGACAACAGGGAGAAGCAGCAACCGCAAACCACAAACAACCACATCATTCGCCGGAACTATAAACCGGTTCTGTGGAGTTAAGAATCCAAACCCCAAATTCCCATAGCGTTTTTGGAGGAACAAAGAAGTGTTTGGCTTAACAACCTTTTTTTTGGCTTTTTTTTTGTTCAACTTTTTTTCGTTATTTCCCAAAAAATTAGTTCAGTTAAAATTTCACCCAATTTTTTTTTCTTTTTCTTCTTTGGCAACTCCCAAAAGTTTAAAGAATAATTTTGAAGAAAACATATTTTTATGTACCCAACTGTTTGTTGGTGCAGTTATTTAGTTAGTTAGGTAGTTAGTTAATCAATCATAATGAACATAGACCCATTGTAAACTACGACAAGAATGGTATTGGCGAAGAAACGAGGAGCTGAGAGGAAAATGAGACAGCAAAAAAGAAAGGCGCTTGTAAATCATTTGTCTATAAACTGTCGTACATTTTATTTTTTAGTTATCAAAAATATATATATATATATAAAGAAAAAAAATTTTTTTTTCCATTGTGCAAATAATAGATATGGACTTCAAAAAGATTATTATCTTTGTTTATTATCAACGGTGGTCTACCACCTAAAAAAAAAATTTTTTTTTTTGACAGTTTTTTGTTAGATATTTGAGTATATATTTGCACAAAGTACCAGTTTCTTTTGAATTATATAAACCATAATTTGAAAGTGTGTGTATTTTTTTTTTTTTCACCAACATCAACATTTATTACCATTATCCTGTTGTTCCCTTTTTTTTTTTTTGCTTTTTTTTTTCTGCTACATTTTATTGGGTTAAAACTGATAAGACAATTTCGTCAAAAATTTTAAAGGGATTCCAACAACAACAAAAACAACAACAACAACGCCAATGCCAATGACAACAATGAACTGGATAAGTGATTTAATGATCGCCATTTGATGACTGAAAATGCTTAGTTTAGTTGACATCTGAAATTAGCATATTTTTTTAGCAGGTAAATGGCTGAATTATTAGCTGTGAAAAAAAAAGAAAAGTATGGAAGTTCAAGTGAAAATTTTTGTTCGGGTGTAAATAAGAAACAAGGAGAAGACGGTGCATGTTTATTTTCATTTGTAACATAGATTAATCGTAGCAAAAAAAAAAAAAAAAACAACAGTTTGCTTGATTAATCGGCTTTGACTATTATTGTTCAAAAATTTTTATGTTCTTTTTTTCAGTTTTTTCTTTTTTTTCGCTCCATTGTACAGCTGTTTAAAGTTTGTTTTTAGTGTTTCAAAACAATGTTTAGTTGTTTGTTTTTGTTTAGTTTTTAAAATTTTTTGCTGAAACACTGTTTAGTTACAGCTGGTTTTTTTTGACCTAAGGATTACAAAGGTACAAGAAAAAAAAAAACCAATTTCTTTGCAAAACTTTTGAAATTAATTTTTCTTTTTTACAAAGTTGTCTTTGATGAATTGGTTTTCTATTTATTTTATTAATTTAAAAGTTTTATACGGCAACAACAGCTGAAAAAAAAAAAAAACACTTTGCAATCTTAGAAATTGCTTTATTGTTGTACAATTATTGTATCAGTGATATAAATGTATATCATCTACAAAACAAAAAAAAAAACAAAAAATGGTGATTGATAATGGTGACACTAATAGTTTAGGCGATGCTCTCAGTACTGATGTTGATAGTTTGTTGGTCAGCTGAACAATAATATTTCTTTCCTTCTCTTCAGCACTGTTTATCTTTTCGGTGTCCAACAAAAGCTGTCCTACAAAAACAACACATTGAGATATGTATGTTATAATATTTACAACAAAAAAAAGAAAGAATTTTTTTCCTTTTATTGGTTCAAACCCACTTTTTTTTTTTTCTGTTTGACCACTGTTATTGTTTGTTGTTGGTTACTGCTGCCGTGTTGTTGATGTTAAATTTTGTTTACTTGTTTTTTTTTTTTCCATGATCACTTTTTCTCATGAAAA